CAACTCTTCTTAGTGGTTACATTCTTGCGCATAGAAAAGCCAGGCAGTATACATGCACATAAGATAACGAACCCATCTCTTGAGCGCGTGAACACCAGCTGCAAAGGTGATGTCAAGTTGCCAGTAAGTTTTCCAAACATAGGCGCTAGAACAAGGTCACTCCTGCCTCATTGCCAAGGGAACAGTTTGCTGTTCTTCAAGGCTTGTGATTAGGGAGCAACACATTCCTACATGTGTGACCATCTACAACATAAACTTTGTGGAATGTGGTCTTCTCTCCAAGTTTTAGAGGGCCCAAAAATTCCTTTTCACATTTAATGGGGACTGTACTGGGCCTTTCAATAGTCTTTTTTTTTCTCTTGAAGAGCTGGTATTTTCATTCTCCTGTGAAGTGATTCTAGAATCAGTGTTACATCAGCACATTTGTCTATTTTGAAGTTTATTGGTTTCCCAAGGTGATTGTTGTGCTCGATGGTGGGGTTTTATGGTCATCTCCTATTGCTCTAAGTGGTATATCTCAGTGTCTTTTAGGTCATTGTCTTGAAAGACAGCTGTTACCATGCATTGAGACCAGCATACTGCTGCATAATGTTTGCCTTTTAGACATTTCCTGCATGTAGTATCATCTGCTGGACAAAGCCATTTGCCGAGAGGTGGTTTACCACACTATGAACATTCTTTCCTGCTCTTGTTGTATTCCTTTTCTTTACGCCATGTTAGCATAACCCTCTCTGTATTCCTTTGTGCTCATATTGAACTGAGTGGGTATTGTTCCTGCGACTCCTGAGATATTTTCCTCCCAATGTCTGTGGCTTCTACAGTGGGTTCCTCCTCAAAGTTATTCCCGAGAAGAGTCTGTTGCTTCTTTACTAACTGACTTTGGAGGACTGTGTTCTTGGCTGTCTCTGGTATTAGGTTAGGATAATTTTGGAGTCTTTCTGATAGTTGGTCTGTCCCTCAGCCCTAAAACAAGCCTGTCTTTGATTAAGTCTTTGCTCTTCTCCCTGTAGCACGGTGCTGGATTAGGGTGTGCAGGGCTGCTATGAAATCATTCACTGATTAACCCTTCTCTTGCTTACATAAATGAAATTGTGCTTGCTCAAAAATCATAATGTGCTGTGACATGAACTGCTTCTCCAGTACTTCTTTAACTGTATGGAGCTGTTTCACCTGAGCAGCTGTGAGGCGTCTCGGAAGGATAATGTTGTCTGCTGCAAGTCCCACTGTACAGAGCAGGGTATTGTCTCCTCTGTGGTTGCTAGTATAAGCTAGAAGCCAGACGGAACCTCTGGAATCTGCTTACCCAGAGTGGCCATCCCTCAGGGTGCTGGACATCAAATTCTGTTGGGAGGGAGGGAGTTTGGGAAAAGGCTGGGTCAGATATAGCCATCTCTGCTGTTTTACCAGATTCCCCACCCCCCACCACCTTTTTTTGTTTGTTTGTGTGTTTATTTGCCTCTGTGTGGAGTAAGGTGGTGTGGCCTTGAAGGAAGCAAGCTGGTGTTGCTGTAGACCACCTAGCCTTAGTTTCAGTGTCCCTTGCTTTCTTACCCTCACTTCCTGTTGCAGCCTGGACTCATCAAAGCAGTTCTCTCTGGATTCTCTGTGTTTTCAGGCCTTTTCTCTGCTTGTTGCACTGCTAGCTCTGTGCACTATTCTGGCTGGGCTGAAGGGTCTGCTTCTCTATCTTCATGTCCCCCTTTCTCCTTTTTTCAGGGATGTTCTCTGATCTGTTGGGTCTTTATTCAATCCCACTCTGATACCATGTAGATAGAGATTACAGAGACCCAGCACACTGTGGTTGGGATGAATGCAAAATTGACTTTGTTTCCTGTTCACATAGACTCTTACCACCTTGCTCTTCGTCCCCTACTGGTCACTCTAAATGGTCACAGCTAAAACTACATACACTATGTTTATGCTCACCCCAAAGTATGATGTGGTTTGAAAAACTGATGTGTCTTGAAGGGTAGCAGTATAAGGGCTCAGTTTTGATCCCCTGATATTCTGCAATACTCTTGTCCACTTCACCACTTCATTGCCAGAACAATGTGAAGAGGGAGCATTGTTTTACAGAAAAGGGCAGGAATGTTTTTCCTAATCCCTGGTCTGAAAATAGTGTATCTTTCTGTGCAAGAAGATCCACAGATATTAACAAAGTCTTCAGCCCATTTACAGCTTTGAGGGCACAACTAGGGTTTTGTGCCCTCAAAGCTTGTTTTCTATCAGAACACCCGGTCAAAAAGCGACCCTGGCTGCCCCAGTCAGCACCGCTGACTGGGCCATTAAAAGTCTGGTCAGCAGTGCTGCAGGGCTAAGGCAGGCTATTCCTTACCTCTCCTGGCTCTGCGTTGTGCCCCGGAAGCAGACAGTTCCTAGGCAGGGCGGGCCATGGGGCTCCACGTGCTGCCCCAGCCAGGAGCCCCCCCATACCCAGAGCCCCCTCCTGCACCCAAAACCTCTCATCCCCCACCCCAGAGCCTGCACTCCCAGATGGAGCCCTCACCCTCTCTGCACCCCAACCTCCTGCCCCAGCCCCGAACCACATCCCATACCCTGAACCCCTCTGCCCCACCCCCAGCCTGGAGCCCCCTCCTGCACCCCAAACCCCTCATCTCTGGCCCCACTCCAGAGCCCACACCCCCAGCCGGAGCCCTCACCCCCTCCCACACCCTAGCCTCCTGCCTCAGCCTGGAGCACCCTCCCGTAGCCTGAACTCCTCATTTCTGGCCCCACCCCAGAGCCTGCACTCCATGTTAGATCCCTCACCCCCTCCTAAACCCCCAGCCCCTACCCCAGCCCAACTAAAATGAGTAAGGGTGGGGGAAAGTGAGCCACCGAGGGAGGGGGAATGTAGTGAACGGGGGGCAGGACCTCGGGGAAGGGGGTGTGGCCTCAAGGAAGGGGTAGGGCTAGGGTATTCGGTTTTGTGCGATTACAAAGTTGGCAACCCTTGGCACAACCAGGCTTGCCATTGAAAGGTATAAGGAGTGCCCTCCTAAAGTGCTCACTATTTTACTGTAGGAAAGGCTACAGGTGTTTCAGTGTAACAAGGAATAAAAATAGTTTGTGAAGCAGTGTGCCCCTTCATTTAAACTTGTTAGCTATAGTGTAGCTAAAAAACACTGTACATCCCCTGAAAATCTGATAAATCTGATTCCATATTGTAAAACTAATTAGTCCAAAGGTGGGTCAATCTGTGAAACTTTCTTAAAAAAGAAAAGAAAAATTTAGGTAAGTACAGCTAAATGTTCCTGTTTTTCTGCTCAGAAAGTTACACAGATCCTAATAATTAGATTTTATCAGTAGTGTAGCTCCAGTGGGAGAAATAGAAAGGGAAACTATATAATATCAGTAGTTTACAAAGATAACTTGTTTTTACTGAGATACTACTGTGTGCAGCACCTTTCACCTAATGTTGATGTTTGCATGTCTGACTTGTAGATTTAATGAAGGTGTTGAAAGAAGACCACATGGCCGCCTTTTAGGAGTCAAAATATCTTTACATCCATGAAGTAGAATCTCCAGCAGGGGACTTGCGGGTGGTTTCCACTTCCTTTGTGCTACCTGAGTGATGCAAATGAAGCAGAACAGGGCAGAGAATCTGCCTCAAATTATTGATTAGAGCCCCAGGCCCTTTTTGTAGTCATATGGTTGACTCTAAGGCTGAAAAGGCTGTACACCAGTTGGGTTAGCTGAACTGCTGAATCAGTCTATATTTATATGGAAAGCTATTGAGTTCTTGATATTTTGAGTGTGAAGATTTCACATGGAGCAGAATAAGTATAATTAGGGAGGCCAAAAAGGAATTTGAAGAGCAACTAGAAAAAGACACAAAAACTAATAGCAATTTTTTTTGTAAGTACATCAGAAGCAGGAAGCCTGCCAAACAGTCAGTGGGGCCACTGGACAATTGAGGTGTTAAAGGTGCACTCAAGGAACATAAGGTCATTGCAGAGTTGCTAAATGAATTCTTTGCATCAGTCTTCACTGCAGAAGATGTGAGGGAGTTTCCCACACGTGAGCCATTCTTTTTAGATCAGAAATCTGAGGAGCAGTCCCAGATGGAGGAGTCAATAAAGGAGGTTTTGGATCAAATTGATAAATTAAAAAAGTACTAAGTCACCAGGACCAGATGGTATTCACCAAACTGTTCTGAAGAAACTCAAATATGAAATTGCAGAACTACTAACTGTGGTGTGTAACCTATTGCTTAAATCAGATATATTAGATATAGAGATATATATTAGATAAGATATAGTAGAGCTGGAAAAGGTACTGAGAAGGGTATGGAGCAGCTTCTGTATGAGGAGTGATTAAAAAGACTGGGAAGATATGATAGATATCTATAAAATCATGAATGGTGTGGATAAAGTGAATAAGGAAGTGTTATTTACCCCTTCACATAACACAAAAATCAGGGCTCACCCAATTAAATTAATGGCAGCTGGTTTACAACAAACAAAAGGAAATACTTCTTCCACACAATGCACAGTCAACCTGTGGAACTCATAGCCAGGAGATGTTGTGAATGCCAAAAGTATAACTGGGTTCAAAAAGAATTAGATAAGTTCCTGGAGGATAGGTCAATCAAAGGCTATTGGCCAAGATTTTCAAGGATGCAACCCCATGCTCTGGGTGTCTCTAAGCCTCTGACTGCAGGATGCTGGGACTGGATGACGGGATGGAAAGCATTATTCTTCATAACTTACCTTTTTCTGAAATTATGATATAACTTAAAGTGATATTGTTGTAACCTCATTCTCTTTTGATTAGACTTATCCCTCACAATACAAATAAAGACATAATGATCTGCAGAGTCATTCTTTTTGGACTGCCTCCTGTAAATGGATCCTCACTTATGGTGGAATGATGCTGTCCCCCCAAAACACATAACTAAGGCTTGATTTTGGAATTCCACAACATGGTTCTAAGATTTCATGTGGGTGTTAAGATCTACTTTACTATATATATATATATATACTTTTATTTATTTACAGTGCGGTACAATGGACCAGGGTCTGTACATGAATCTGACTGAGAGGAATCTTCAGGATGCCCAAAAATTTATTCTAATGCATGAGGTGGTTCAGCCAGTTATTCCAATTCCTTACTTCATGGAGGACAACAGCCGGTTTTCCCATGTGGCAGTGGATGTGGTGCAGGGCAAGGACATGCTTTTCCATATCATCTATCTGGCCACAGGTACGACTTAATGGTGCTGAAAAAACTGTAGAAAGTCAGAGATCCTTTTCAATGGTCTGTGCCTCAAGTCTGAAATGCCTAAACCACCCGGGGGAACTGGGTTTGTAATTTGACAGCATTAACTGTGCCCTTCACCTATCCAAAGTGGCTAAGCTAAATACCACACATTTTGTGGTGTGTGTGTGTTTCTTTTGTACAAAATGTGAAAAATCAAGATTCTGTCTCCTCTGCATGAATGGGGCTAATTTTTCAAATGGAGATTCCCCCACTCCCCATGCCTGTTCCACAAACTTGAAGGGGAAAACCCTACTTCCCCTGATGGGACAATATGCTAGAGATTCCAGGAGTGATGTCTTGCTGAGTTTCTTAGCCCCTTTCTTGGTTTTTGCAGCATAGACTATGATCTCACCCATAGGTTGTAAAGTGTTTTGGGATATTTTCATATGGAAGATGTTACACAAATGCCACATATTATTATTACTATTGGTATTTTTTATATTTCTTTTTGTCCCTCATTCCCCTACTGCTTCAGCCAGCAAGAATTGGATGATAAATCCCTTTTCAGGTCATCCCTAAATAATTTATCCTTAGAAAACTTTACCTCCTGCTTTCCTACTTAGCCTTTTGTCCTGAAGTTCAGAAATGAAAAAAAAATATTCTTCCGTTGAGAATGTCACTGTCTTCTTGTCTATAAGGACTTTAGTAGAGAATGATTTTTTGTCTGAAACTTTTATAAGGTAGTTGAGAATGTGAGAAGTGTTTCCAATGCACAGTGCTTTACAGAATGGGTCACTGACTACATTATTCCATTGATTGAAATTCAGATGTAAAACAATTGAATTGAGTAATAGCAAGTATATAGCCTGCTCCTGTAAACCCTTCTTCATATAGTTAGTCCTCACAGAACTAGTCCTATAGACATCAGTGGGAGACTACTCAGTTTTCAACAATGGTTTTCAGGATTGGTTTTATAGTTAGTACAGTAACAAGTGTGGAGATTTTAGGTAAAGAACTCTTTATTAAAACAACAACAACAGCTATTTGCTTGAGTTTGCTCTCATTGAAGTCAATGGCAAAACTCCCATTGATTCCAGAGAGCAGGATCCATATTTATTTTTATAAATCTCCAAAATTACAGCTTCTTAATGAAACCATTTAATGAAAAACATCTTGTTCTTTGGAGCATTGTGGTTCAATCTACAATGTGACTTTCTCTAGATTCTTCTGAATCCAGTCAATAAATCGACCTTTTATTAGGACCCTGCTTCTTTTTGACTATTATTATGACATTATATGATCATTTGGTGTTTTCAGTTGAGACAGTGCTTCCTTGTGTACTATCATGGAATATCAACCTTATTCATTGTTGTACTGCAAATGTACTGCAAACGCCTTTAATAGGCTATAGCAGCACAAGGATTTGGACAAGTATAGTCAAAACAATTTGATAAATTATAGTATCTTTAGTGAAATCATAGCCATACAAAATATTGTTTATCCTGTGCAACCCCCCTGATAGAAATTGGATCACTGAAATGCGTTTTGAATTGTTTTTGTACTGGGTTGCTATTGCTGCATTGAGACAGATTTGATCCCATCATAATGATACTATCTAGAATTATGTAACTTCTCACAGTTCCTGATTGTGTCCAGGTTTTTAATTTGTTCACTGTGCTTTCTGTTATAACTGATTTGGTAAATGTAGGCCTCCAAGTTTTAAGGCTTTGAGGCTGGCTAACAAACAGCCCTATTTATTAAAAGGTATATGTTCTTTTTATTCACCTTTCATGCTGATAAATTAGGTCTAGATCCTCCAGTCCTTATTCAGCCAAAACCATTTCTTGAATTCAGAAGCTATTGAGGGAACGTAGCCTCTCACAGGAGCTACTTGACACCTTGTAGTTGTGACAATTATACATTGAGAGAGAGAGAGTGGGAGAGCATGCACATAACTAGAGCTAAAGATGGAGGTTCAGCTTTAATTTTAACGTTACTAAGTTTGTCGATATGAACTTTGAGCCCAAATCTTGTTTTAAACCTAATAGTTGCATTTAATTTCTTGGAATTTTTTTTAAACTATCATTTACATGAGAGGCCAGAAAGGTTTTATTTCTTGCTTGCTTTCTTGCTTTTAGAATCTCATGAAAAATCATGCTATGTACTATAGTAAGGGATTGCCACATTTTACAGTTAGGGATTTTTTTTCTGTCTAGAGACACTCCTACTTCAAGACTACATTCCAAATTGTAGTTCACAGCAGCCTTTTCCCCATATTGAGCCTGATATCAACTTTAGCTCTGATGGCACAAACGTTTCTGCAGATTGTACAATATGCATTTGAAATGACAGAGCATTTTGGGATGTTGTATCCACTCAAATACTGGATAGACTAGTGATTCCTTGTCTTGACATTTTGCCTGTAGTAAGTGCTTCATGTTGTAAAACTAATTCTTAGGTTTTTCCATTCTAAGTTTTGGACTGTCATGTTTGTATGTGTCAAGAAAGGAAAACAATCACACTCATGAGAAGGACCATGGAATCTTTCACCACCTTAATTTACAGCTATGCAAATAGTTTTATATATACATTACAAAAATACCAGAAACCAGCCCTCCAAGTCATATACAGTTTGAGTCATGAGAGCCTGACTTAACAGGGGGTGGATAGAAATACCACAGACACTTTTAAAATTCTAAAACATTTCTCTTGTATAAACATGATGGTGCGGTGGGGTACTTACAGTTATATTGACACTTGTCTGGGCTAACCTTAACTCTGGAAAGGATCCAGAGGTGAGCAACAAAGATGATCAAAGGGATGGAAGGCAAGCCATATGATCAAAGGCTGAGGGAACTGGATATATTTAGTTTGGAAAAGAGGAGATTAAGGGGGGATATGATAGTGGTCTCCAGGTCTTGAAAGCCTGCCATAAAAAGATGGAGAAAAGTTGTTCTCTTTTGCCATAGAGGACGGGACAAGAGGCAATGGGTTCAAACTACAGCATAACTGATTTAGATTAATTTCAGGAAAAACGTCCTAATTGTAAGAACAGTAGGACAATGGAACAGACTGCCTAGGAAGGTTGTGAAAGCTTCTTCACTGGAGGTTTTCAAAAGGAGGCTGGATTGCCACCGGTCTTAGATGGTTTAGACACAACAAATCCTGCATCTGGGCAGGAGGTTAGACTAGATGACCCTTGCAGTCTTTTCTAATCGTATGATTCTATAATTCACTCACTCATGACTTCAGGATTCATGGCATATGAGGCTGTATCAAACTGGTGCTCTGTGACTCTTTTACCCCATACCGTGACATGCTGTCCTTTATACTTACTACATGTTTCAAAAATTAATTTGGAGGGGAAGGCTTGGGGAGGGTTCTCTCAATATAACATACTGAAAAAACAAATGTATCATAGTTACATTCTGGGGACAAAATTGACTTATAGGGAGGAATGAAACAGAGGCAAACTGTACGACAGGATGGGAAGAAGGTGGAAAACAAGTCAAAGGGTTAGAAAATAGTGGGTTTATTTATTTATTTATTATATTCCCTTTCTAAAGTTTTGCATCCATATTTTTGAGTGTTTTTCCTTTTTTTCCTGTGTGTTTTGGAATTATTTTGCTTCTGTTAAAGGAGATGAGAAGCTGAGATGAAACATCTTTTTCACTGACAGCCTGAAAATTCTAAGTTTAGGCACCAAGGAGGGCAGGGGGGTTGTAATAGCTAATCAGAATTGAGAAATGTGCATGCTCACAGTAGGTTTATTGAAAAACAACTGTATAGTGATTATGCAAATAAGATACTCAGTGTCAATTAAAGGGCAAGGTGTTGTGTAAGTGGGAGAAACTGTACAGTGAGGCATTAGTAATTTTCTATTACTTATCACCATCTCATGTATGTCCTAGACAGCAGATAAAGTTGGATTCATCCCAATTCATTTGGAATAAACACATTTTTTATTCTTTTTCAAGAACTTGAAGGACTTTCAAAGTACCTTGCAAATCTCTTTGGGTCAGAGAAGCAACTGACTCTCTTCATCTGAGTTTGGAAAGCACCTCTCATATTTTGGATGGTCCCCTAATATAAATAAATAATAATAACAAATGCATTTTGACATCACAACATGGTGACTTTTTTGTTACAGCTTGGATGAGTGCTAGATAGGCTACTTGTAAATTTTAATACCTTCTTGCTCACAAGAACAGAGCAGCTAAATAGAGCACAGTCAAGAGGGATGGTGGGAGATACACATTCCAGCAGTCAGTGGGCATCTTTAAAAATTGTTTGTTTTTTTCAAGTGCTTGCAGACACATATTCCACTCAGGTGTGCATGTGCCCAGCATACCGAAGCTGGAGAACTTTGCCTTTTGCCTAGCAGCGTCCACAGGGGTGGCGCTCATGACCTGTGGCTCTAGTCCCTCACCAGGCTACTTAATGGCAGCACTGCCCCAACTTCCTTCAGTTCCTTCTCAGAGCCCGCAGTTAGAGTCAGAGGATGTTGTGTGGTATTGATCATATGGTTTCTTATTTAATTCTTCTGAGATTTTTGTTGTAAATCATTTACAGTTAGCTAGTAGTTAGTAGTATTCTTAATACAATTTGGGAATAGTTAAGAGCATAAGAATGGCCATACTGGGTCAGAGCAAAGGTCAATCTAGCCCAGTTTCATGTCTTCTGACAGTGGCCAATGCCAGGTGCCCCAGAAGGAATGAACAGAACAGGTAATCATCAAGTGATTCATCCCCTAGTGATCCTTGTGGGATGTCTTCACAAGGTCTCGGACACTGTCCATTGTGTAGGGTGGACATTTCCAATACCAGTCCCCCCAGAGTGTTTATTGTGCCTAGGGAAAGGGCATATTACATAAAGTTGCTCCATCTTGTAGGTGGCAAGGGACGTAAGGCTCAAGCAGCAATGTACGCAACAGGCCGTGAGGCCTGCATCAGCACTGGGGACCTGCATAGAACATCTCGCCCCTCCAGACAACTTCAGAGCCA